TGGGCAACTTCGGTCTTGGAGGGTCACTGTCCTGCAGAGTTTAGCTCCAACCCTAATCAAACACACCTGAACAAGCTAATCAATGTCTTCAACATCACTAAGCTACAGGCAGGTGTGTTTGAATAGGTTTGGAGCTCAATTCTGCAGGACAGTGGCCCTCCAGGACCGAAGTTGCCCAGCCCTGCTCTAATCTGTTAACATGGGCGCAGAAAAAATATGCGCCGCATACACACTGCAGACGGAGTATGTGTGAACCTGGCATTATGTGTGTGCGCTTTGAGTGTGCATGAGCGCACCGTCTCTAGGAGAGTGTGCGAGTGCTGAATGGTTTAAACACTGGCAAGACTTAAAAAGAAATACAAATGATAAACTTTAGTGACGATGTTAACACTGCCTTGATTGTGCAAGTGACAATTCCTGTGTCAACTGTGCAGCGTGCACAGAAAGTTTTCAAATTACTTTGCAAGTTATTTAATGAAGAAATATGAATTGTACCTCACCTTCAGCATTATTTTACCTGGGCCGGAAAGAGATAGAGACGGTGCCACTGCATGTCATGCCAAATCTCTCACGGCAGGCGCATCGTCAGCTTGAGATCGGCCTTTTTAGACCTAATCAAACACACCTGAACAAGCTAATCAATGTCTTCAACATCACTAAGCTACAGGCAGGTGTGTTTGAATAGGTTTGGAGCTCAATTCTGCAGGACAGTGGCCCTCCAGGACCGAAGTTGCCCAGCCCTGCTCTAATCTGTTAACATGGGCGCAGAAAAAATATGCGCCGCATACACACTGCAGACGGAGTATGTGTGAACCTGGCATTATGTGTGTGCGCTTTGAGTGTGCATGAGCGCACCGTCTCTAGGAGAGTGTGCGAGTGCTGAATGGTTTAAACACTGGCAAGACTTAAAAAGAAATACAAATGATAAACTTTAGTGACGATGTTAACACTGCCTTGATTGTGCAAGTGACAATTCCTGTGTCAACTGTGCAGCGTGCACAGAAAGTTTTCAAATTACTTTGCAAGTTATTTAATGAAGAAATATGAATTGTACCTCACCTTCAGCATTATTTTACCTGGGCCGGAAAGAGATAGAGACGGTGCCACTGCATGTCATGCCAAATCTCTCACGGCAGGCGCATCGTCAGCTTGAGATCGGCCTTTTTAGAGACCGCCGATCAAACTTCCCAAAGTGATTATCGGCAGATAGCCATCGGTAGCCAATCAATCGGAGCACCCCTAAAATAAATGCAGGCTTGGTGCGCATAACACAAACTTTGAATAGTAGTGAACAACTGATTTCACTGGCATCAATAATATCTCATAACTGGCAATCACTGATAAATATAACATTTGATTTGTCAGAAAATTCATAACTCTAATTTCAGCACAAGTTCAACAATAAGGAAACATAACTAAAATGAACCAAAAATTACTTTGATATTACTTTTTTTTTGTTTTTGTTTTTTGGAAGAGATACTGTCATGTTTTGTCATGGAATTCTTTGAAGAACCATGTAAATACCATGGTATATAAATATTAGCTCAGTATATCAAATTACCGGAGTAATATCTTCTGATAATCACTGTACAATGGTACTGCCACAGTACTTTTTTTTTCAGCAAGGTTGAGTCATCACAATAATCTTCAAATAATTTCAAAGAAAACTAATTATACACAATCCACAGAACTTAATGACAGGTCACAGCTCTTCTGCTCAAGACCGGTGCCTGTTCCTCTCAGACGAGCGTGCGCACTTAAGCAGGAAGCAGTTCCAAAGATCACAGTCACAGTGTAGTGGACAGTCAACACAACAAATAGTCCAGAGCTAATTAAGCATGACCGAAAAGCCTTGCCCTCACGAGAAAGCTCACAAACAACCTACTGTTACACACTCATCCACTGTAACTGAATTAGATCACAAGAACCTGTAGATGAGTGACCAGTTTGGTAGTAAGGTGGGGGTGGCGTATCAGCCATGAGCTGATGGATGGACTGTCGTTAACTGGATGGGTCATTTGCAATGGCTCTATCTCAATAGGCTATTTCATCAGAGATCATTCCACGCAGACTATGAAAAGTCCTTCAAACCAGGACTAATTTCCATTGATAAATCCAGCACAAAGACCGCTTACTAGACCAGTCTGTGGATGAAAAAAATCACTATATGATATGCAGATTTTTTTTTTTGATTCAATGAAAGTAAATGGGGTCCAGTATTATTTTGGATCCCACTGATTTTTTAATTGCAAAGACAAAAACATCTAAATATGTTCTTTGAGTGTTCTTCAGAAGAAAGAAAGACATACAGGTTTGGAATAACATGAGGATGAGTAAACGGCAGAATGTAAAATGTAGCATGTACCATCCCTTTAACATTCAGGTGCATCTAAAAGCTTTTGGATTTTCCTATAACCACAACACAACTACAATCATATCACAATCAGCTATTAGCTTTTATACCGATTATGTTCATTGACGTGGGAGGATACTGAAAATAAGACATGACAAGCACCATTGACCAGCTGAGTCTGCATAATCAATCCTCTAGCCCGTCTCTATTACTTTTTACACACACCGATTCAGAATTACCATCATTATTCAATTAGGAGGCCTCAGTTAAAACAGCCTCAACTTAAACCACAGCCACCAGTCTGATGGACAAACAGAGGGAGCTCAGAGAAGCCTGAAGATAAATATTGCAAATAAAAAAGCAAATATACCTAAGACGAAATGTCATTTACAACCCTCGGTACACTTAACAGGTGGTGCAGAGTATTTATGTGAGCAACCCATCTTAAATAAGGAATTGATAGCTTAAATAATTTTTTCATAATTTATTAAACAACATCTCAAAACATATTTTTTATTAAACTGTGCCCATTAGTTGTGGAGCATGAAAGATACATTTTCATATATGAATGAAAAAAATCATATAGCCTATGACATCTTAAACAGAGTGACATTTTGTTTTGTCATAAAAAATAACTACTTTAAAAAAAAAAGATACATCAAATACTGGGGTAGGCCTTGAATCAGAGCTATGACGCAGGTGTAAAAGAGTTCATGGACACATGAGGTCAGATATGTTTTTATGGGCACAGGAATAATTAAACTGGAAGCAGATAGTCTAGTCTGTGGGAAATTACTCTAGCTAAATACATGGCTCAAGGCAAGAGAAGAAAAATTGATCTCAACAACAGATATTCGGTGGAGGCTGCCAATTTGTAAATGTGACTGCATGAGTATTCATTCATTTGATTAACAACCAATTATATGTACAAAGGGAGAGGGGAGAGAGGGGGGGAGTGTGTGTGAGTCAGAGAGAGAGAGGGAGATTATTAACATCTGAGTGTGACAAAGAAAAAAGGAGGAGCTAGGACAGAAGTATAGTATGGCACAGATGAAAGGCCATTTGGGTCTGGCCCCCTACTGCCCACCTCTGTGAGAGCTCCCTCTGAAGTGTGCGCGTTTACACCAACACATCACAGCGCCACAGCTAAATTGACCATTTGTTACGAAAAACACTTCTAATTGCATTCGTAATTCATAAGAAGGTCCAAAGGAAGAGGTTTATGCCTTATAATATCCGTATGTCGATCTTGAAACTTTACGATGGAGGCTTGGCGCATAAAACATATAATTAATGTGAAATCGGCATGAATTTCACACACACTACGGTGTATAGCTACATAATCTGCCTGATTCTGGTAGCGCCAAATCATTGTATAGTGCATTTAATGGTCTGTCTTTACAAAAACACACGGTTAGATATTTATAAATAAAAATTATTTGCTTATAAAATGAACCAAATCACACAATACCCCACATTAATATAATAAGCTATAGTTGTATTAGATATACACTTCCATTTTTAAAACTAGAAGAATTTTCTAAACTAATAACAAATTGGGGTAATAAATGTAGGCTACACATTGTCTATTTTTAAAATGCAGCTGATCATACATTGGACTACTGCAGATGTTTCTGATGAGGGAAAAAATGAACACGGAGAAAAGTAAACAATACATCTTTCAAATGCAGTTTTAAATCTGTTCATTCATACCGCATAAAGCCTTTACATGAATGAATGCACACAAGCAATTGTAAAGGCTGTCATTACGTCAACATGTTTTTAAAAGTCCAAATAACTCTGCAATGAACCGCCTTTATGTTTGATAAACAGCGCAAACCATGCAAAATAAGCATTAAGGTAGGCTAATTAACAGAAATGCACAGTATGATAGTACACAGGACTTGCATCTATCCTAAATAACGTGCACTTTGTCACACTTCCAAAGTTATTTATGATAAATAGAGCAAGCCAAACTCTCTAAAAAAACATTATAGATTAGAAATGTAGAAAAGTGCACTAAAAGACAAAGGCTGGTGAACCAAATCACACAATACCCCACATTAATATAATAAGCTATAGTTGTATTAGATATACACTTCCATTTTTAAAACTAGAAGAATTTTCTAAACTAATAACAAATTGGGGTAATAAATGTAGGCTACACATTGTCTATTTTTAAAATGCAGCTGATCATACATTGGACTACTGCAGATGTTTCTGATGAGGGAAAAAATGAACACGGAGAAAAGTAAACAATACATCTTTCAAATGCAGTTTTAAATCTGTTCATTCATACCGCATAAAGCCTTTACATGAATGAATGCACACAAGCAATTGTAAAGGCTGTCATTACGTCAACATGTTTTTAAAAGTCCAAATAACTCTGCAATGAACCGCCTTTATGTTTGATAAACAGCGCAAACCATGCAAAATAAGCATTAAGGTAGGCTAATTAACAGAAATGCACAGTATGATAGTACACAGGACTTGCATCTATCCTAAATAACGTGCACTTTGTCACACTTCCAAAGTTATTTATGATAAATAGAGCAAGCCAAACTCTCTAAAAAAACATTATAGATTAGAAATGTAGAAAAGTGCACTAAAAGACAAAGGCTGGAGTTTTAAAAGTGTGTTTTATTACCTGCATTGTGAGAACACCCAGCTCCTGAGTAGACAGCTTCTTCATCTGCACTGCCAAAACTTGAGCCTCTTCCAGGATCGAAAACTCACTATCCGCACCACAAGATCCACCACAAACAACCAGCAACAGGGCGACAAGGCTCCACTTTGAAATCTCCAGGTTATTCCAGTATGATCGGGAGTGTGTGCTCCACGCCGCGAGAGAGAATCGAGATCCTGTCCGCGCACGACTCGCCATTATGGCTCGATGCGCTCCTGCACGGGAATAGCGAAAAACTTCCCCCGATTACTTCCCAACTTTCCCTTTTCACTTCTCCCACTTTCCGAACTCCAGCGGGGTAACTAAGTCGCATCAAGGCATAGTTTTAAAAACTCAAACGCTGGTAAAGAGGGCAGCATTAGTTTCTTTGGCTGTTGGCGCTGGGTAAAGTGAGTGTGTGAGCGAGCGAGCGAGTGTGTGTGTGTGTGTGTGTGTGTGTGTGTGTGTGAGCCGGAGCATCACAATAGGAGTGAAAAGCAGGAGGCGCGCCATCCAAACACCGTCATGGACTCTGCAGAGCAGCTGGATTTGGATTTAATCCTGTATGTTCCTTTCTGTTTGGGGTCCCAGAGTTCGTCTGAAGTATTTTCAAAATTCAAAACCTCCTACTTTGCTTTCAAATGGTCATGTACCAAGTTAAAACTAAGTAGACAAATCTGATTAAGGCGTTAACCCTGTTTATAACACAAAGTAGACATACACTTTTCAAAAAGGTGACTTCTATGTTAGGCCTACTTTATAGAAGATTGTAGAAAAGTAATGACACTTGTGTTTGGGGTCAATCTGATATCAACAACATCCTGTAGAAAATTAAAATGAACAATAAAATAAAAAAAAATCTAATAGCTAAACAAATTCAAATAAATGACTGAAAAATGTCTTACATGTTACATATAAAATCAAATCACCAACAAATACAAAAGTAGCTGTAAATTATACACGATATTTAATAAAGCAACATTCTGCCAGAACACATTGTAAATAATGTCTGCAGTTGGCATTAGCAAAATGCAATATTATAAAATTATATCTAAATATCTAAATAAAATGAATGAATGAATGAAATATTTGGGCATTTTGTGTCATTGAATCCTGTTTATTATCTGACTCGGGTGTATATCAATCTGAGAACAGCATATTGAAATTAACATTTTTTTGATGTACCTAGCAGTCTTTTCAATTTCATTAAATTAGTTTAAGTCAAGAAGGATCAACCAGATATTTAAAGGGGTCATATGATGTTGCTAAAAAGAACATTATTTTGTGTATTTGGTGTAATGAAATGTGTTTATGTGGTTTAAAGTAAAAAAAACACATTGTTTTCCACATACTGTACATTATTGTTTCTCCTCTATGCCCCGCCTTTTTGAAACGTGTGTCGATTTTTACAAAGCTCATCGGTCTGAAAAGCGAGGTGTGCTCTGATTGGCCAGCTATCCAGTGCGTTGTGATTGGCCGAATACCTCAAGCGTGTGACGGAAATGTTACGCCCCTCACCATACTGTGATGCCGTGTCCCGGCCGGAGCAAAGAGACAAAAACATTAAAACCCATTACAAACGAGGCATTTGTTGCATCCAGTGGGGACATAATTACTGATTATAATGACTTATACTGTCTTTTTACGCGTTGCGTTGCATTGCATCGCGCCGCGTAAACATAAAAC